ACCAAAAACTCTAGCCTCCATTATCCATCTTCCTTGTTGGTGTAAGTGCCCAAGATCCAACCATGTATAGATGGGCTTGAGTTGATGTAATGTTGCATTATTTATCTTGATAATAATAAAAAAGTCATTCTATTAATTCTTTTGTTTACATGTTTAGTAGAATTAGACAAAAGTCCTTATGATATGCTTTTCCAATAGTGATTAATCGAAAGATATGAGACAAACACTAATGCACATAAATGATATCATTAAATGTCCCAAGTTATAGCATCATCAAGAATGGATATTAAAAATATGCAGATAGACTTGTGATCTGCTATGCTCATGCTATATGATAGCGAGTAGGAGATCTAACATCTATTGGCATGGTGATGCCAAAGCAAGCACTTAGGTGATTTATGTTAGAGAACATATCACTAGACTTGACTCGCCATGATAACCCATTTGGTTTTAGTTTATGGGAATCTCATACAAGATAGGTACAAATGATCCTTAGACTTGAAGTTATCACGGTTATCTCATTGGAGGACTTATGCACTTTAACACTCATTTTGATGGACCCATTAATGGGTTACACGTGAGAGATTCGTTGGGTGTACTAGGAATCTAATGGAGATAGGTGTATAACTAAGATAGGACATGTCATTCCTTGTATGCTAAAGGAGCTATCACATTGCATTTTGATAAATTTCTACTCAAGAAATCTATGCCCATAGTAGGAGGACACCAATAAAGCATAGTTGGTTTACTCTAAGAGCTAAGACGTTTAGGAATCGAAGAAAACTATGTGATCACCAACAAACAAGAGTAATAACCAAGTTTGAGATCACACCTGTGATAAGTTGACATGAGGACTGAATTGTATAGTAACCATGCTCGTGAAAGGTAATAATGGATTAGCTAATCCTCCCGCAGAATTGGGTAGTCATGATGCCTCGCTAGAGGCCAATCTTGATTTATGTATCAAAAGATTAAAGAGGAGTCTTTTATTCTTGATACATTGTCAACATATCTAGGAGCCTATTGAGTTACACGTATAAGTTCAATTATTCACATTACAAATGAGAAGCAAAGATATTAAAAAAAGTTTTCAATTATGAAAGTTTCCCATTTTGGAAAAAGTTTCCTAAAATGGAAACTTTCAAAAAAAAATGAAAAGTTTCCTAAAATGAAATTTTCCTATTTTAGAAATCAGTTTCCTAATTTAGAAGTTAGTTTCAAATTTGGAAATAAAAAACCTAAAAGGAAAGGAATTTTCTAATTTAGGTTAAATAGTAGTTTGGGAAATTGTTTCCTAATGTGGACTCCACCAAAATAATGTAAGAATATTTATTTAGATAGTCCAAATAAATTAATTGGGTTAAAATAGTTTTGGCCTATTAGGTTTAATTAAAAGCCTTAAGATAATTTTGGTGGGAGGATAAACATCAACCTTATTGAATAAGGATGAATGTTTTAAAGATAAAGATCAAGTAGTCCATATATAAAATAACTCCTTATCTTTGGAGGAGAAGGAAGCAACAACTTAGAGTCTTTTATGGACTCGGGTCGCCACTTTCCTTGTCCTTGGAGAACAAGGAAACTCTTCCCCTATAAATAGGAAGAAAGGGGCAGCAAAAGAAGAGAGAGAGACTAATAGAGAATTTTGAAAAAAAAAAAAAGTTAGGGAAAACTTGGGCCAGCCTCTAAACAAAAAAGGGCACACGGTCGAGAGAGAAAAAAGGGAGAAAATAGTTTTCTCCTAAAACCCTAGCAAGAAATTCTCATATCCTCTCCTTTAAAGGTGTCACAAAGTTGCCCGGGATTGATATTTAGAGAAAATACTTAATCGAAAAGGTAAAACTAGCACCTCATCAATTTTGAGTGCTTCTTTGTAGATATTTGGGCTACGTGGATCATCGGTAGAGGTCGGACACTTGGACGGCTAATCAACGAAAAGAAATTTAGATCTACACTATAAGAGGTAATCTTTTACTTTTATCTTATTGCTCATGTATGTATGATTAGAAGATTCAATGGGATGATCTTGGGGCCCTTAGATAGAGGAAAATTTTTTATTTATTTCGCACCTCTATAGGATGTATAATAACAAAAAAAACAACATAATCACAACTATCCATCACCCCTACCCATAAAAAAAATAGCCAAAATATAGAAGGTTATTGTTCATCATCTCTCTAAAAAAAAAAAATTAGCATTCACACAACCACAAGCTAGAGAAAAATCTAGAGAAGTTCTCTACCTAAAAAAGAGAAAAAAAATCAAACAACCACTTAAATCACAACAAAACCGACTAGCCCGCGGTCAACCTACGTATCCGTTGTCATTTCTTCCCTAAAATCCCCATTCTTCGAAGTTAATCACCCCTAATAACCACCACCATCTTGTAGCCCAACCTCAAATCCACTTTCCCTAACTAGTTTTCATAGCTTAAAATGACGAGAGGAGGTTGAGATTTGAAACGAAATCCACTTTATCCAACCTTCTTCTATTTTCTAGCCAAATCAAAGGCAACCACCACCACGTAACTCTTCTTTTAGCCTTCATAAACCTCCCTAAGCCTTAAATAATGGGAGAAGATGTTAGAAATTGATGAATTTGGCCGAAGAAGATGAATTTGACTCGTGGCCTATACTTATTTTTCTTTCCTATTTTCCAACCAAATGAAGTCATTTAAAGGCCAAAAAAAAGCTCTAACATATCTTAATGATTTTTCCGGTCTTTTTTGGGGGTTTATAATCCATTAAATCTTATCAAAATTGATCAAAGAAGGAAGAGATCGATCAAAACTTGTCAACCGTCAATCTCCTTCCTCAAGCAACAATGGTCGTCATCGCCAAAACCAACGAACTCTACATGGGTGTCTCCTACACGGTGAAATGGTCCATGCACCGATTGGTGATCGGATAAGCAACAACAACAACGACCTCTAAAAGTGAGAAAGGGGAATTCTATCATTTTTTACACTAGGGGCAATTTTGTCATTTTTCAAAAATGGGGTATTTTTGCTATTTTCTAGCAAGCATTTTGGTCACATTTTAGTGACCATTTAGTTTGTTTCTCTTATCTTTTTTATTACTTTATTATGTTATTTTGTGACGAGTTATTTAATTTTAGGTGTGTTAAAAAAATGTAAAAGTATTTAAGCTTTAAATTTTTATCTTAGTATGTGAATTTTCATTTGCATATGATGTCGGACCAACGAGTCTTCTATCTATTAGGGGCGGATGGTGGTCTCGACCTATTAAGTATGGATGGTGGTCCCGATATATTTTATCCAATAATAAAAAAAATGCTAAAAAAATAATAATAAGGGCACTTTTCCTTATTAGATTAATTAGAAAATTTTATGTCGACCTAACGAGTCTCCTATTTGAATAGAGACTTTTGTTGGCCTCGATCCATAATAAGAAATAAAAAAAAACAAATAAAAGGAAGAAAATTAGTTAGGATAAGTGCAAAATCAAAACAAAACACTTTTGGTCTAATTAGGAAAAAGAACAAAATAGAGAAAATGCTAAATTAATTTAATAAGTTTTTTATCTAATAGGGACCCATGTTATTAATTGAATCAAATTAATCATTCTTAGTAATTAGATCATTCTTCGACATACTTATTATATCAAGGCTTAAGTTAGATCCAATATTGAATTGACGAGACTTTCGATGACGAGATCTAACGATTGATTCAATATGATCCCACAAAAAAAATGGCTTAGGTAATAAACTTAGAATTTGACTTAGGAATAGATTGGCAATAATAAAAAATTTTAGGAGATATTTTTTTATGATTAAATTAGACATCATAGCTTTCCTATAAAAGAGTGTTTTTGGATTATTGATATCTTTCTAAAAATATAACTAACTTTTTACCTTAGAATTTTTAAATCAATATCATTTTTAGGTTTCCTATTTTCCTTTGATATTAAGTGGCACTCGAAACATAGTTTAACACACATCTCCGATAAATAATCAAAAACAAAATAAATAATTAATTTTTAATAGTTTTTTTTAAAATCTCCTATATGTCCGATAACAACAAAGAATAAGGCAAAGAAACATATGAATTCTATTATTTATTTAATTATGAATTAAAAAACATATTAAAAATTTATAACAAATAAAATTTCATAAAAATTAAAAAATTAATTTGATGAAAATTTTTATAATAAACTACAAATTTAGGAAATTAATTTTAATCGATAAGAAAATATAATCTAACTTATGTATTTGTTCTAAAATTTAAAAACAAAAGAAGCTAGAAACATCACTTAAAAATATGAACCAAAAATATATTTTAAAAAAATAAGAGATCAAAATAGACTAAGTTAAAAGCACGAAGTATCAAAATATTTTTTTCAAACATGAGGATTCAAAAATATATTTAGAAAAAAATCAAGAATAAAAAAGAAATGAAATGTAAAATTTGAAAATATCAAAAAATCACAAAAATATCATTATCAAAAATTACAAAACTACCACCTCATAAACAGTAAATGAATAGTAATTTAAAACAAAGAAATATTAATTTGCCCCCAAATCTTTTAGTGTTTTGCTTTAAGTTAGAGCAACATCCGTTCAGTCTAGATCAAGGAGAATCACAAATGTCCATAATCACAAATATTCCATGTCAATCAAAGCATCATCATATTCAAAAGCTCAGTTTTCTTTGATTACAAGTGAGATTAGGCTTAAAGGTTGGGTTTCGCCAACTGAAAACTATAGACAACAGAAGATAAACTGACCAGCTGAACTTCAAATCTTCATCTATTCGTACAAGCTATTAGTGATATGTTTCGTCTGTTCCCAGCAGCGAGAACAGAAGGGAGGGTGTGGCTGCTCATGTTCGGCGACAAGAAATAATTCTCAGTAATTGTAACAGTGAAAGATGATTCACAAGAATCTTAAGCTCTGAAGCCTGCCGTTCTGAGAAATTTGGCAGAGTTTGGAACTTCTGAACTGTAAAGCAGGTTCAAAGGTCGCCTATATGTGCACCCAACTCATGAATCTTTGTCCTTGGATAAACTCTGCGGGATTCTACTAATTACACTTTCATCCACTATCTTATAGTGATGTGATAGTTTACTATGGATCATCCCACAATATCTATCCACGAGCTCTTTATATCGGCTATACAGGGCAGGAATTGTAATGGATAAGATGGTCCCTGTTATCAATATCAGTGGTAAACATGTCAATACCTTGGTCAAAACAATATTAAGCATTCAAGCAATTTCAAGGAGACCAGAAGCAGTAACACCCACATGCACAATAACAAATTTCAAGGAACATTACAAGGTTCAAAAAAGGGATAAATATTGCCAAAAAAAGTGTTCCACAGTAATGAACTTTTGAGCTACCAAGTGGGGCACCCAAGGATTAACAAATATGTGAAATAAAAAATTTAAACATAAGAATTAACAGTTACAAATATCAGAGGCTGCATTTAACTAAAAGACTAAGGACGCTGGCATGCAGTGCATACCTATATAAGCCAGAGTAAAGAAAGAGAAGTAACTACCAACAGCAGAAAGGAGCCAAAGACAGACCACCACCTGTCAAATGAACAATTAAAATAGTTAGCAAGACAATGAACAAATAGAAGACAAGAATTGTAACTTGTTTAAGATAGATTCTCAAGACTGTATTCAAACATTATAGATATTTTGCTTGCATTCCCTATCTCAGTACAGAAGGTTGCCAATAAAATATTCCTACTATCCGCTCAAGGAAAAAAGCGTTTAAAAAAAAAAAGCAAGTCCCAACTAGTCTGTTTTCCCTTCCCCAGTACCCGACTTGGCCATTTCTCCTACCCAATTAAATCCTGCATTGTCAAATTAATCCTTCTATGGAAAATTTAGTTAACTTATATTTTATATGCCTTTTCTTAAATCTCAAATTCAAACATACATATCCATCCATATACATAAGCATATAGTTACTACAAATTTGAAATACCTATAATTTTTTATTCTGCTTGGGTTTTTGTTTCCTTTAAGACTGAATATCTACAATTTACCACAGAAACTATGACAAATATCAAAACTTCTTCATAAATCTTCAATTACACAGAGTAGAACTCTTTAATCCTTTTTAATTCAACCAATACTTACCTTGAAAAATAGAATCTAATATCTTCGATCCTTTTCAAGTCATACATTGGCCTTGAAAAGGACTCTTAAAATCTTTGCCAAAAGTGATATCATGAGCATAAGAAGCATGTTATTAAGTCAATCAACAATGACCTTGAAAAAGAGTCTAAAATCTTTGCCAAGAGTGATGTCATGAGCCATAAGAAGAACATTATTAATTTTCACACGAAATGATGCTGCAGCACTGTTAACCATTTCCTCTGACAAAACTAACTCTGGTAACGATTGAAGTTGTCTGCTCAAAAAATAAACAGTACATTAATTAGAAATGGTTTCAGAACTGAAACAATAAGGAGCTGCAAATGAAATATGTAGAAGACATTAAGCATACTTGTTTATCGAAACAGCTAAGTTGGCACGGACAAACAACAATACAATCAAGATCAGCAAGACATCAGCACAAATTGTCAAGAATGGTAATCCAGACCGCTCAAATATGAACCATGATACTGTTGCAACAATAATGACACCAAAAGAAACATGCCACCACTTCCACAGTAGTACATCAGCAGCTACAAAAAAAAGGGAGCATGAAATTAGTAAAACAACATCTGCAAACAAAGAAAAAGATGAAATGAAGTCATATGCAGGAGTAGCGGTTGAGACAATAATGTCATATATTTAAGCATATATAATGACAAACAGTAACAAGTTTAGGCAATAATTATGCAGAAACCTAGATGGGGAGTCAAACTAGCTCAAACCAGCAAGTATCAATTAACTATCATCTAAGTCAAGAAAAATCCATTACCACTACACAGTATTGACCAAAATACTTAATCGAATAGACGAAGCATGGAAGATAAGAAGAACAAGAAAGAAAGTTATATAAAGTAAAAAAGGCTCAGGCAAAATACTGGAAAAGCCTCAGCTTGATAAAGAATCGATTTGCAGTATAACATAACCACTCAGGAACACCACTTGAAGAGGCCTCTATCATCTCATATCATTTCGTTTCTGCATCATAAAGTGTCAAAGTGCAAAAGACCCTTTACATGATTATTTCATTTTTCATTATGCAAACAACATCCAGGCCAAGCAAAGGTAGGTTTTCATATTCAACTGCGCGTCATCAACAAAATGAAGGTGATATCCCCAAAGTTCTTCGGTAAAAACAAGACAAGTATTTCAGTTAACCTAGAGGTACACTTGAAACATCAAATCTTTGTTCATAATAATTGTAACAAAAATAATTGCCTTAGTCTGCAATTTCAATATCACCAATCCCCCAAGTTAAATACACAGCTGAGTCATTTAATTCAAGAAAAGCCATGTAAAGTAGAATTCAGATTCATAATTGCTCTTCAATTCAAGTCCCACCCATTTTCCATTTCCTTGAGAATTTTTTCATCTAGTTATCATCAGTTTGCTCAATCTTCACATATCTTAACAACGTAAATTTTGTCATCACAAATTCTAGGAATGCTAAAACCTAGTTTTCGTCTGTGAAATCCTTTGATCTAAGCATCAGCATCCAACAACAAAATAAAGGTAAAACCATCAACCATATCTTACTAACAAAAACAACAAAACCCAAAAAGAAAAGAAAGAAGAAACCATTTTTTTTCGTTTTAATATCAAAACCCAATCGAAATCTTGCAAATCAAAGGAAGGATCAAAGTTGAACGTATAACCTTTGCCACCACCCATAAACTGGTGAAGTGAGTCTTGGCGACCAAACAATCCATACCCAGAAGCTACTGCTCTCGGAGAAGAAGAAGCAGATGAAGTGGAAGCTGTGGTGTCATTTCTTGAGTCTCCTCCTCCATTACCACTGACCGTGTCTATTACATCACTTGAATTCTCCATTATTCAATTTCTCTAAACAAAATATATATATACCAGATAGCAAGTAGTATTAATTAAAAAGAAAAATCCCAAATCTTTTGCGAAAAAGAATTTAGAGAACCCAAAAAGGGTTACCTTATTTATTAAGGAAAAGAGGTCCCTGAACTTGGATGGATCTGTCAGCAGTACTAAACAACAAGAGTCTTTTTCCAGAAGGAAGAAAGTTCGTTCCTTTTATTAAAAGACCATTTATTGTTTATTACTGTTACTTTTATTATTATTAGTCCTTCTGTACCAAAGTCAATTTTTTTTTCTTTACTACTTTTCACATCAGTTTAAAAACTTATTAATTATATATATTATTTTTTAAACAATATTTTAAAAAAATATATTTAATTTAATATTTTATTATAAAATAAAAATATTTTAAAAAAATACAGAACTAAAAATTTTTATCAAACTAAAAAATTTTATCAAATAAATATATATAGAGAGAGATATGTAGTAAAAGAAATGATAACAATGATAGAATTAAAAAAAAATGATAGAAAAATGAATTCATCATAAGATGAAATGAATACAAGAGATAACAATTTCAAATAATCTTTTAGTCTCTACAAAATGCTTGTACATAAACTAATAAACAATCAATAAACTTCAAAACTGAAAAAAGAATTAAAAGGGACCATGAATAATTAAAAATACATATATTTTTTAATCAATTGCATCACTCTTTCAATTTCTCATATTGAATAATGAATTGAATCACATTAAGAATTATGAGTAGTTGAGATATGAAAAGTATATGAATATTCATAAATACATTCATTATTTCATGACACTTCTTCCTTGAATATCCATTGTACAAGTATTATGCCTCGTGAAAACCATATTAGGAAAAAACCCTTTGAGAAAAAATCCTAGTGAAGGAAAAAGAATACAATGTTTTTTGTACACATTAATCCCCATATTGGTCTTCTCCCGTTGAAAACATTATTTAAGATCTCTAAGACGACACATTCCAATCTTGTGAATCATCTTATCAAATATTGTGGTAGGTAATGCCTTGGTGAATAAATTTGCTGCATTGTCACTTGATCGAATTTGTTGAACATTAATATCACCATTCCGTTGAAAGTCATGTGTGAAAAATAATTTTAGTGATATATGTTTCGTTCGTCACCTTTGATGTATCCTTTTTTTAATTGAGTTATGCAAGTAGTATTATCTTCATACAATATTGTTGAACATTAATATCATCATTCCATTGAATCATCTTCTCAAAAGTTATGGTAGGCAATTCCTTAGTGAATAAATTTGCTAGATTGTCACTTGATCGAATTTGTTGAACATTAATATCACCATTCCATTGAAGATCATGTGTGAAAAATAATTTTGGTGATATATGTTTTATTTTATCACCTTTGATGTATCCTTTTTTTAATTGAACTATGCAAGCGATATTATCTTCATACAATATTGTTGGAACTTCCGTAGTAGTGGATAAACCGCATGTGTCTCGAATGTGATGGATTATAGATCTTAACCAAATACATTCTCGACTTGCCTTATGAATTACTAGTATTCTCGCATGGTTGAAAGATGTGACAACTATAGTTTGCTTTATAAAACACCGTGATATAGCTCGTATCTCGATAAGTAAATACATATCCGAGTCCGAGATCGAGCTTTGTGTGGATCGGATAAATAACCTACATCTACATAACCAATTAATCCTTTTTTTGATTTATTGAAGTAATATAAGTCCTTATCAATTGTTCCTCGAAAATAACGTAGTATATGTTTAATTCCATTCTAATATCTTTATGTTAGAGCAGAACTATATCTTGCTAATAAATCTATAAGAAATGATATATCAAGCCGGATATTATTAGCAAGATACATTAATGCATCAATTGCACTAAGGTATGGTTCTTTAAGACCAAGAAGTTCTTTGTTATCTTCTCGAGGTCAAAAAGGATCTTTTATGGATATTAAGTGAACAAACTACCATTGAGCTACTCAATTGATGATCTTTGTATATAAAATTATAGAACTTTTTCTATATAAATTGACTAATGAATAAAAATATCATTCTCTAAGTGCTCAAACTAAAGGTCGAGATAAAATTTTGTTTCCCAACGTATTCATATCAAATTCTCTTTTTAAATAATTTATGGCATTTGAAATCTCTTCGGGAATTTCAATAATATTTAAATTATCAACATGTACAATAATTATCATAAATCCTTTTTTTAATTTCTTTATAAAAATATATGAACAAATATGGTTATTTTTACAACCTTTCAATAAATATTTATTAAACAACTATATCACATATACACAAATTAGTAATAAAGAATAGACATTGAAAAATAAAAAATAAATATAAAAAGTATAGCATAAATTGAATTTCTAAAAATAAAATTAATAAAACAACTACTAAAATAATTCGATAGAGATATCTATAATTTAATTGATTTCATTTCTCAAGAATATGTATTACATGTTTCGAGCTTCTTAAGTCCTTTTAAGACTTTCATATAGATATCATTTTCAATTGAACAAATAAGTCTGTGATCAAATTCATTAAATACATACATATAAATTTTTTTCATATATTTTTCTAGACTAATGAGATAACAAAATATAATTGCATCCATTATTGGAGAATATGTCTCTTCATAGTCAACATTAGGTCTTTGTAAAAACTCTTGTGTTAAAGTCTTGCTTTGTATCTTTCAATCTCATCTTTTTTATTTCGTATTAGCATAAATACACATTTTTATTCCATTGGCTTAACATCTTCGGGTGTTTTGACAATGAGTTCAAAAACTACTCATTTGTAAAAGATCATAATTTTGCTTGGATCGCTCTTTTTATTCGAGCCAGTCATCGTTATGTCAACATTTTTTAATAAATTTAGACTCAAGATCCTTATTTTTCATTTAAGATGTCAATTGAAATATTATATTCAAAAATCTCATCAATAAATGTTTCTTTTCGGCCCTATTTTTTACTATATTGACATAATTTATCAAAGTCTCTTGATTATTCTCAAGTATTTAGACTACTTCGGAAAGCCTATTATTAGAAATATCTTGGACCATTTTGTAAATATTTGCATCCTTTTACATTTTCATCTTGATTATTTGCCCTTTTCTGTTAGGGATTGTTGTTTTTAGAACCAATCGGTCTTTTACGCTTCGAGTATGATTTAGATTCATTTGTTATATTATTAATAGATTGTCCTTCTAAGACATCAATTCTAATAGGATAATTTCCAACGAGGATATGCCTTTTAGTTACTCTTTTAGGATCCGAGGATGTATCTAACGAGTTAGTTTGTAATACCTTATAAACGAATTATCTTCTAAACTTCTAGTTCACATTGTTTTATACCAAGTTGATATAAAGATAAAGTACTCTATGTAATTTCTTTTTTCAAACATTTCCAATCGCTTATTTTGATTATTCTTTCTCCTAATGTTAGAAAAACTATTTTATTAAAATGATGGTCGATAAATCGAGCTCGTAAAAATATCTCTTGTTTATGGTTCAAGATACTGAATTATCGAAAAGGATTCAAAGACAACATATATTCTCAATCTCCTTTAAGTGTCTATTTTAGCTTGTTATGAAAAAGCACTACGGATATATAATGCAATGCTAAAAATTCTTAAATAAAAAATAGTTAGCTCATGACCAGTAAACCAATTGAATGAGGAAGAATTTCTAACAATTTATGGGTCCGATACGAATAAGTGTTGTTGCATATAAGATTGCATGTCATCAAATATAAAAAGGGAGTTTTGTTTTTAAATAATGACTTAGCTATTAATTGGAGCCTTTTAATAAATGATTTTGCTAAACCTTTATAAGTATGAACATGAGCAACGAAGTTATTCAACCTTAATAATCATTTAATGCTTGAGAAATAAATTTACCAGCGTCGTCAAGATGAATCGTTTTAATTGTATAATCTGAAAATTATGCTCAAAATCAAATTATTTATGCTATCAACCTTGAAAATGCCGGGTTTCGAGTAGACAATAAGTATATATGTGACCATCTTATGGAGGCATTTATTAAAATCATAAAATATCTAAATGATCCACATGATGGATGAATTAGTCCATATAAATCACCTTGAATACTTTCTAAAAATACTAGAAATTCAATCTTAATTTTACTTTGTGATGGCTTAATAATCAGTTTCCTTGAAAACATATAGAATATTAAAATTCATTAGATTGAAGAATCTTCAAGCTCTTGATAGACATCCATATGAATTTTTAATAATTTTTCACATCATAAAAGACCCACTATAACATAACCAATCATGCCACATAATAAAAGTATTTGAATTGGTAAACTTCGGTTTACTAACCCATTTGTTTTAATCATTCAAATAAGAGAAAGCGGATAAATTTTTCAATACATAATTTCTACTTGATATAATAATTATAATACATAAGTATTCACATTTGCTATCTTGATATGATATCAATTTAGATGAATATCTTTGGAACTCTATAAATTTATATGACACTATAAAGAGACTAGTACATCATTTATAATAAAATTTATCCTTTCATATAATAAAATATTTGCTCTTCTAGAGCCTTTAAATTATGTCACTTTAAGTAATAATATATCCACTCTTCTAGAACCTTTAAAAGTTATCTTCTCAAGTAATATATTCGTTCTTCTAGAGCCTCAAAAATTTATCTGTTCGAGTAATAATATATTCACTCTTCTAGAACTTTTGGTTAAATTTATCCGTTCGAGTAATAATATATTCACTCTTCTAGAACTTTTGGTTAAATTGATATTTTTATCTATAATATTAAAACTATATATATATATTCTTCATAAACATAAATATTAAAATAAATGTATAACTATCTTTATGCAATAGAAATTATAAGAAAATATAAAACATCTTATTTATAAATAGAAAAGCTAACAAGTTATTAATTTCGATTACTTTCATTTTTTATATATAAAATTGGCCTCTA